CGCATCTTGCTGCCTGACGACCCGGTTCGAGCTACGTGGTGCTTGGGGACAGAGGCAGCGCGGCCTGGACGATCGCCGCCAGGGTGGATGCCCAGGGCGCAGTGGAGATGGCTGCACAAACGAGCTTGCGCCTCTAGGGGATGGGCCAGGCAGCTCTTGCAGATCAACCCACCACCACCACCACTACCACCCGCCGTCGCAGTGTGGTGCCTTGCTAATGTCGACGTGGCGGGACAGATCCAACCCCGTGTGCAGCAATCTCTGCGGTCCACCGCACAGGGAATTGTGAAATGCTTGTGTCCAGAGGACACGCCTGGAATCCGCGCGGCTCCTCTGTGGGACTTTTGCGGCGCCACCGACTTTGTCGCAGGCAGCGGGCTAGGGCCCAGCCCGCTGGGATTTGGCGTATTTTTAGAATTATTACATTGATTGACACAGAATGAAACACGCAAATGTGGCTTGGAACACCGACAGATTCTCTGTGAAAGGGTGACGTCATTTGCAAGTGTGATGATTGAACGGTGATGCACTCTGCTGTTGTGCTCAGGTGGAGGATGCTCCTCAGTCTGGTCATTGCGCCTGCAATGGCCATTGCAGGCGCAGGCGCAGCCGCAATCGCCGCCGCAGCCGCCGCAGCGAGCCCCGCGGCAGTGGGTTCTTGGCTTCAACACTGGTAAAAATTCGACCATTCTACACCGTGTATAATTGGACAAAATCGTGGTAATATCGTGTACAAATCGGGTGCTTCAGAGCACGATTTTACACGATTGTTATAATTGTGTAGTATTCGACCCTGTGTAGTACACGAAAGTGGTCCACCTGACAACAATGGACAACACGGCAAGGCACACGGTTTTACAAGATTTCAACAGTGTGCCAGCGGCAAATGTGTATTTTGTAATTAGTACACGATCGGTACACGATGGTCACACGACTTTTACACCATTTTGATATGCGCAACACGGTACACGAATTTCTGGACCATGTACTTTGGCCGATTTTTTACCAATGCAAAGGGGCCGGCGTTGCCGCCGGCTCATATGCCGCAGGCTGGCAGGCCAGCATTGGGAATGTTGCTGCTGGATCGCTTTTTGCTAACCTACAGTCTGCAGGTGTATTCAAATTACATATGACACAGAATGTCGACGTGCCAAGGCTTGCTATGTAAGACGCTTAGCGTGCTGCATCGGCGCTTGGAAGTTGTCAGAAGCTGCGCATGGCTGAAAGTGACCGCCTGGTCTGTTCAACACGTGCTAGATGGCAAGCGCACGACTTGCAACCAGTATTAGCACGTTTGGTGATAATAAATTTCCTTTGTTGACACTTTTGAGTATGCCATGTATGCCACTGCGCATGACTGAAACTTCACTGCGGCATCCTGTTTCACAATCGACATGCGCAAAAAGGGCCAATTGTGGTCCAGCAGTGCAGGACCATATTAATTTTTGCATGCAATGTGGTATTTCATGAAATACGCTGATGTATTTCGATCTATGCTGCATCAAGAGCGGCAGGCTTGACCTGTGCGACGAAGGCAGTCCTCGCCGGAGCAGGAGCAGCGGTGGCTGCTGCAACGGGCAGAAGCTAGATGACGCCAAATGCTAGCCGCGCGGCACCGTGCGGACAGCCGGTTGTTGTTGGCGCATCTACTGCAAACTAGTTTTTGTGACTAGAGGGCGCCGCCCTGGCGCTGCGAATGTAAGGACAATCTGTTTCCGAATGGTGGGCACATGAGGGTCCAAAAAAGCTCGGGGTGCTGCTGCCAGGGCTACTCCATTATGGGTATTTGCAATACTGAACCATGGATTTATTGAGAAGACATGATCGCATCGCCGCTGTTGATGTTCAGGGGATTTCAATGGGTTGGCGATCCGTTGGAATGTAGCGCTTGCGAATTTGCGCTGCTGCTCCTTGCAATGGAGCAACTGACGTCTCCAAGACTGAATGTGGTGTCGAGAGAATTCGCACCTATTTCTGCATGAAGAGCATGGATTCGCCCCCCGCGCCCCCCAGCCGCCGCGGCCCCGCCGCGCCGCGCAGCACGCGCGCCCGCGCGTGGTGGGCGCCGCGCGGGGGCGCCGCGGGGGGGGGCGCGGCGCCGTCGGTCTGCAGGCGGGGCCGGGCGTGCGGGAAGGGCGGGGCCGGCGCGGCGGGCGCCGGGCGGGCGCCGGCGCACCGGCTGTCGGGCGGGCGGGCCGCCGGCCGGGCGGCCGGGGCCCTGATCCCGGGGAGCGCGGGGGCCCGGGCGGGGGCCGGGGGCGCCCGGGCCGCGGGCGGGGCCGGTTCCCCGCCCCTTCGGTCCCCGTTCGCCGGGTGGCCATATTACCGTGTTGCACACGGCGCACGCCATCCACATTTCAGCTGCCCGCCTCGTGCTCGCGGTGCCTTTGCGCCTATCAGCTTCCCTGCGCCCAGAGCCCGCTTCCGAAGCAAGGCACAAGGTGAGGCGAGTTTCCTCTCTGCGGGTGCGCCCTGTTCCCGTGGTCTAGTTTCCGTCCGCCCTGTGTACGCTGTTGCGCGTACGGCACCCCTTACTTTCTGCCCTGGCGCCCGCATCTGCCAAGGGGCTGATAGGGACAGAAGGGCAGGATTTAACAGCCCCTGAGGCGCGACTCCCCGTCGCATCATGCTGGCTGATGGCCCGGTTCGCGCCACGTGGTGTTTGGGGACAAAAGCAGCGCTGCCTGGACGATCGCCGCTAGCGTGGATGCCCAGAGCGCAGTGGAGATGGCTGCGCAAAAGAGCTTGCGCCTCTAGGGGATGGGCCAGGCAGCTCTTGCAGATCAACCCACCACCGCCACCACTACCACCCGCTGTCGAAGTGTGGTGTCTTGCTAACACCAACATCGACGTGGCGGAACGGATCCAGCCCTGTGCGCAGCAAATCTGTGCGGTCCACCGCGGAGGGAATTGTAAAATGCTTGTTTCTTGCGAGCGAGCGAAGCGAGCAGAGATTTATAGAGCGAAATCGCGATTTTGGCCGGCCGCCGACGGCACGCCGCCTACCACTCGCCGCCAACCGCGCGCCGCGCACGCATCGCCCCCTCCCTGGACTTCCTGGCGCTGCGCCTTGCGCAGCGCGTGGCATGCACGCTGCCCACCCACTCACACCCGACTTCCTTGTGCCTCCCGCGGCACGTGTGCTGCACGGCAGGCGGCGTGGGCGCCAATCACGCACTCAGGCCCGTCCCCGGGCTTCCTGCACCGGCGTGCGGAGCGCGGGCGCGGCGTGGCGTGGGTGGCAACCAGCCTCCCGCCGGCTTCCCCCGGGTTTTCTCGGATGGCGCATGCGGCCTGTTGGTCCGGGCTTTGGCATGACTAAGGGGGGGGGCTGGGGGGGGGCCCGGGACACCTCTGGTGCCATGCGCCGTGTGCGCGTGGTCAGCTTTTTCGCGTTGCGCATGCAGCCGTTACGACGTTTGCGTTACATAGCATGGGTGGGGAGGCCCGCGACAAAGCGCTGTGCGTACCCTTAAACGCTGACAAGCAGGGGAGGTGCAGCGGGTAGCGTGAACCCAGGCGGCGCTTGGGCGAGTGGCCGGCGGTGGCGTTTGCCATCGCCTACGGCATTGCTTCCTGTCACGTTGGGGGGGGAGGCGGGGTGAAGTGAGGTTTGAGGGGGGCCAAATCGAAAGATTTGTTTATGGCAATCGACACAACCCTGGGATGTTCACTTCGACCAAGCTGGGCGGCCGCTTTGAAGTTCCTCTTGGCACCTGTTGGCCATAGACTAGAACAAGTGGCAGTTTAGGAAGGTGGAGGTGGGGGGTGGGGGGCATGTTCAAATTCAGAATTTGCGTCCTTGGCGATTGACCCAACGGGTCGATCGCTGTGGACTTTCACTTCAAAGAGGCTTGGCGGCCTCACTGCAGCGCCTTGAGGTGCCTCCTTGGCCGCCGACTGGAAGCGAATGGCGTTGGGATGTGGGGTGGAGTAGGGTGTGGGGTGTGCTAGGGAAAGGCCAATTCTGTTTGGTGCGATCGATCCAACGGGTCGATCGCCGTGACCTTTCACTTTAGAAAGGTGTGCTGACATCCTTAGGGCGGGCGTCTTGGAGCACGGCCTTGGCACTCGCTCTCGCCCATAAGAAAGTGGTTGCGGGTACGTGGCTTGGGGTTTAGGGTGCCACATTTGCAAGTTTGCAAGCTTTTTGCGATTTGGCACACGATTTGCAACAAAAGTGTGTGTGCATGTGCACCACTCGAGCGAGCATGTTTGCACAAGCAATGTGTATTTTTAGAATCATTACACATTGATTGACACAGAATGAAACATGCAAATGTGGCTTGGAACAATGGGCACTGAATTCACAGACAGACTCTCCGTGAAAGGGTGACGTCATTTGCAAGTGTGATGCTTGAACGATGATGCAATCTGCTGCTGTGCTCAGTTGTAGGATGCTCGCCAGGGCGGTCATGGGAGGCGCAATCGCTGCCGCGGCGGCCCCCACAGCAATATGGCTTCTTGGCTTCCAAGCAGCCGGCGTTGCCGCCGGCTCATATGCCGCAGCGTGGCAAGCCAGCATCGGGAATGTTGCAGCTGGATCGCTTTTTGCCAGTCTACAGTCTGCAGGTGTGTTCAAATTACATGTGCCACAAGTTGTCAACATGCTTAAGCTTGCCGTGTAAGACGCTAAGCGTCTTGCATCGGTGCTTGGAAATTGTCAGCCTGACCTCTTAGAAGCTACACATGGCTGAAAACGACTGCTTGGTCCGTTCAACACATGCTAGGTTGTTAGTGCACGACTTGCAACCAGTATTAGCACGTTTAGTTGTGATAAATTTCCTTTGATGACACTTTTGAAAACAGGAAATTTTATTGGCGATTGGTCCATGTATGCCACTCTGCATTACTGAAGCCTCACTGCGGTACCCCCTTTCACAATCGAAACGTGCAAAAAGGGCCAATTGTGGTCCGGCAGTGCTGGACCATACCAATTTTTGTATGCAATGTAGTATTTCATGAAATACGTTGATGTATTTCGATCTATGCTGCATCAGGAGCGGCAGGTTTCGCCTGGACAACGCAGGCAATGCTCGCCGCAGCAGGAGCAGCGGTGGGTGCCGCAACGGGAGGAAACGCTCGGGACCCTGAAGAAGACCCTAAAGATGACCCTGAAGATGACCCTGAAGAAGACCCTGAAGATGAACCTGCGCAGACTATTATTTGTGGCTAGAGGGCGTCGCCCCTGCGCTGTGAATGTAAGGACAATCTATTGCTGAATGGTGGGCACATGAGGGTCCAAAAGAGCTCGGGATGCTGCTGCCAGGGCTACTCCAATACGGGTGCTGAACCATGGATTTACTGAACAGACATGTTCGCATCGCCGCAGTTGATGTTCAGTGGATTTCAATGGGTTGTCGATCCGTTGGAATGTAGCGTTTGCGAATTTGCGCCGCGGCTCCTTGCAATGGACCAACTGACGTCTCCAAGACCGAACGTGGTGTCGAGAGAATTCGCACCTATTTCTGCATGAAGAGCATGGATTCGCCCATTGGTACTGCGAATCGTCGAAATTACCTATCAGTTGGTGTACGTGTGGATTTTCATGTCCGCTAAAGAGAACTTTTGCGTCTGCCTGACATTTGCCTATGAGCCCTCAAGGGCAAAAATTCTTTCCCTTGAAGGAATTCGTACAAGCGTTCAGGAAAATGTCGAAGATCTACCACAAACCAGAAAAAGTTACAGGAAGGATGCACCCAAACAATATGAACTGCCCGATGTTGGAGCACTATTTTGCCTGTCATTATTTGTATCCATTTTTTATGACCTCTCGCATGGTTGCTTGTATTTTATTCTGTCCCATAATAAGCGTTTCATACTTCGAAGCATATCTTTGGTGAGCTATCTCCTATATCTTCGATGAATTTCTTCTCTATCGTGAACTTCAATTCTGAAAAAAAAATTGATAAATCTTGTGTCTGCGGTGCTAGAGTATACAGTCCACAAAAGTTCAATTCAATCCAAAAAGTACTGACGATTTAGAAGTACCTTGTGGCAAGGAGCCTGAACCCGGAAAGAAGACCACGAATTGTTGGCGTGGCTGCAGAAACGGGCTCTTGTCGCTGCTGCTGGGTGCGCAGGTTAAAGGCAAGGAAGCAGAGCCGTCTAACAAACTATGCGCGCTGTTCAGACGCAAGGTCGGTGTGGTGCTTGCGAAAAGCGCCAGGCATTAAACATGTGCTCTGAAGGGCCTGTTCATCAGGCTCGCCCTCCCTTTCGGCTGCAATTTATGGTGACACAGTGGATTGCAGAAACGCCTGCGTCACAAATTCCTGGACGGGGAGTGTTCGATATCCATCGATGTGCATCGCTATATCGTTGTGCAGTGGACAGGGGGTGTAGCACATGCGATTTGCAGGAAGGATTCAGTAGAAATGACATGCACATATGGGTTTTGTATCACTTCAGATTCCAGGATTGTAAGAGCTTGCCTTGGGACCTTGTAGGGGGCTGAAATTGAGCATTATAAGTACGTGGGTATTTTATTTTGCATCACGGAAAAGACGGAGATCTACATAAAAAGGCATTTTTTAATCATGTGCATGCCGTCAGCAGGCTCAAATCATCAGGTTTAAATCAGCAGGTTCAACAGCGAAAAAATGCAAAGCAACGGACTTGCAGTGGTCATTGTAGCTGTGATCCTTTCGTCAAGACGAGATTCTTCTCCTGCATGCTGTGGGCGGTGATAGGCGTGTGATTATATGTACAGTCAACCTGCCAGAGCCTTCCTCCTATCGAACAGACAGACTTAAGTGACGCTGCCTGGCAGTCCCTCCAGTGACCTCTGTTGTGCACGTCGCGCAACCAGCACCTTTTGCTCTGCTTGCCCTTTGCCCGGGGTACCTTTGCCAGAGCCTGTTTTGGAAGCGAGCCACGAAGGCAGAAGGTGAGCTTAAGCTGAGGAAATTTCCTCGTGCCCCATTAACCAGCGTCCTCATTTCCGTGGTCCCTTTTGCCAATCGCGCTGTCAAAGCTCCGACGCGCGTCCCTCCGGTTGCAGGAAGCGATACCACTTGGCCCTGATCGTGCGCACATGCCAAGGACACATGCCTGCATCTGTCGGGCGGCTTTTCGGATGTAATCCCGGCGCCACCCCGGAATCCGCTAAAGTTGCCTTCCGTGAGACAACTGGCGATGGCCACGGGCCAGGCATCTATCGCCGCCGTTCCTGTGTGCTGCGGCTTCCCTGGAGCCACGAACTTCTGTCCTGAGATAGCTTCCCCAAACACTAGGAAAAAAAGGCCAAATAACGCGTGTTCACATGCATACAAAATTTGCGGGTTTGGCTTGTTTCCGTGTTTTCAGCGTGCAAAACACTGATGAATGCACTATGGATGAGTTATAAAAAGTGATATTTGGGCCGTTTCTTGTTAGTACCAGTTGTTCAGTCGATTGATTGGTTTCAGTTGGCATGTTTCACACTTTGTACGCATTTGAACACCGTTATTTGGTCCTTTTTTCCTAGTGCTGGGGTAACTGGTAGTGGTCGCTGGTGGGGTGTTTTTGTCACATCGGAAAGTTGCGTACTCTTAAGGATGCGTGGCGTTGGGACCCTGCTTGCCTGGTCGGCAGCTCGCAGGGTCCCAGCGGGTGCGTACCCCATGTCGCTGGAAGGTGCCAGGCACGCCACTGTGTGATGTTTCCTGGGGGCAGAAGCTTCGACAATCGGCGGCCGCCCTGATACCAAAAAAGAAACAAACAGCACTTTTTGTGAACACATATGTATGTATTTCATCAGTGTTCTGCACGCTAAAGGCACAAAAATAAACCAAACACGTAAACTTTGTACACACTTGAACACGCGCTATTTGGCCCTTTTTTCTCCTGGTGAGTTGGAGGTCCCAGGATATGCAACCACGTGGCTGCAGAGTGCACTCTAGAGTGAGACAGATCTGTGCCGGAGCGCCGGCGACTCAGTCGTTGGCTCAAAGTCGTTTGCGCAGGCGAAATTCGGGTAGCGCCAGGGCAGCACTCGATAGCCCGAGAGGCGCGATCCGCTGTCCCGTCTTTCTGGCCAACGCCGTGATTCGCTTTGGCACACGAGCAGCGCTGCCGCGACTACAGGCACCGGCGTGGATGCGCAGGGCGCGTCGCTAAAGGATGCACAAAATTTTGAAGAGCTCGGGCCTCCGGGGGATGAGCCGGGCAGCTCGCGCTGTCCAAGTCTGCTCCGATCGCATCTCCTCCCGGGCTGACCTGCTGTGGCACATGCCAACGCCAACGCGGCGGAAAGGATCAGCCAGTGTGCAGCAAAATCTGTGCGGTCCCCCGCAGAGCGACTTGTGGAATAGTTGTGCTCAGTGGACTTGGCCAGCCGTGGTCCATGGTAAGGGCGCCCTCCACAAGTCAACGCTCCCCTTCTTCACAGGCTTGTGCGGCGCCAGCAACTTCGCCCCATGCTCCGGGGCAAGGGTCAGCCACAGGGGGGTGACGTACCTAGCCCCCCAGCGAGTCATGCCATTCCATAATCCATGCATTGATTGGCGGAACACATACGCGGCTTGGGGTGTTGGGTATCAAATTCCATACAAAATTTTCTGTGAAATTTGATGGATGATGTCGTTTTCAAGTGCTGCGTGAGTGGCTATTCATTTTGATACTGTACTCAGGCTCGAAATGATTACCGTACCAAAGCTGGCCGTTGGAGCTGCAGTCGCCTCTCTGCTGGCCCCAGCGGCCTATGGGGTATCGGTTTCAAAGCCGGTGGCGTTTCCGCACGCTCCCATGCCGCAGGTCGGCACTCAGAGATTGAAAACGTTGCGGCTGGATTGCTTTTCACAAACCTCCAATCTGCAGGCAGGCCGAATTTCAAATGTGGCGATCATCCACATCGGTACTTGGAGATTGTCAGCATGACTCTCTTACCGCCTGCAAATGGCTCAAGATAGCTGACTGGTTTGTTCAATACATGCTGCGCGTTTGCCAATGATTTGTAACAAAGTGTTAGCGCCGGTTCCTGTCACTGGGCAGCACAGCGGCCGGCTCACACACGGATGCCCGGCGGAGGTTGCGCGCATCAACTCGGCCTGCGCGGCCGCATGTCCGACTTGATCAGAACCCAAGCATTCATTACAGAACCGTATGTCTTTTCATAGGCGTTCCCTCGATGGTACAGCCCTTGAAGATGTACCCGCTGACTGACAACACTCCCCACCACGCGTCCAGCTCCATCGTTCCGCACAAGCATACGGGCAATTCTCGCCCAGAACGAAATCCCCTGAACTCCCTCTGGACTTCCCAACCCGTCTATCCGACCCATGCTGTCCCCACTTCCTCGTACCTATTCTTCTAAGCCAGCCTACCTGGACCCTTCCGCCCGCCGGCGTTCCTGAGGTCCCTACCCAGTACCTACCCCCTTCTTCCGTACTCCCACATTGCTACCCATAGTCCCCCTATGCTTCCCAATTCATCTCCTAAGCCCCACTGCCTAATCGCGCCCATCTCCTATTCGCTTCCATTTCCCAACTGAACCTCACCCGCGAACAAAAGTAAAGTGCAAAGTAAAAACTACCCGGTGTACATAAGCGCAGTACGGACAGACTCACGGGGTCCGGAGAGTGGCAGCCAGACTCCCTGGAAGGGGCAGAAAATGAGTTTTTGTTAAACGCCATTATAACCCAAGGGCGAGGTGGAAATTTTGTTGCGGGTGCTGGAGATGGCGCAGGACTTATCATTGTGCAACTTTCATCTTGTAACCTGGGTGTACAAGGGAGCCGCAAAAACGTAAAAACACCCGCAGAAATACGCCTTTTTGCAAATTTGTGTTGTTGCGCGTAAAAACGCGAAAGTTAAAACGTAATCGTATACAAAAATACCAAGGCTGACTGTTTGAATCGCTCAATGGAAGTATCAACTGCCGTGCATGTGGAATTCCATATACATAAGGGGATTTTGGTGCCTGTTATTATTTGCTTGTGAGTAGCAGAGCTTGCACGAAGTGTCCATAACAATCACCACAATTTACCACAAATCGAGACAATATACGGTAAGGAAGGACTGTAAGCAGAATATGGAGTGTTGGAATGCCGTTGTGCCCATGAGGACTTGTGTGTCCATACTTGTAAGATTACTGGTGTTGTTTGGCCTTTTCTGCCATGAGCATCATTATCTCAATGCCCACCATTTGTCGTCTGCAGTCACTTTCGGACCAGTCTCGGCCTTGCACCCTTTGCACACATCACAACGGGGCTTCAATCCGCGTCAAGTTCCCCATTGAGAT